CTCCTCCAGTTCATGTTGGCTCAGGAACTCTGGCCTTGAAGTGTGCAAGTCTTAAAGTTGTCAAGTTACAAGACCCTTGCACCTCTAACCCTTTAAAAAAAAATCCCCATGGGTGTTCAAACTTGACAGCTTTAAGACTTATGGACTTCAACTCCCAGAATTCCTCCTCCAGTTCATGTTGGCTCAGGAACTCTGGCCTTGAAGTGTGCAAGTCTTAAAGTTGTCAAGTTACAAGACCCTTGCACCTCTAACCCTTTAAAAAAAAATCCCCATGGGCGTTCAAACTTGACAGCTTTAAGACTTATGGACTTCAACTCCCAGAATTCCTCCTCCAGTTCATGTTGACTCAGGAACTCTGACAGTGAGGAGGTTGGGGAGGAACATGGGCCAGTCCTGGAGTCTGGGGAAGGCTCGGGTGTGTCAGAGGCAGAGAGGAGGCCAAGGCCATCTGGTAGTGATGTGCTGCCTCCGAATCTGACATTAGCGAGGCAGAGGAACAGGGGGAGCCTGTTCCCAGTGTGCGCATCGGCAGAGCTGCCAGAAGGCAAGAACAGTTAAGACCAAAGGGGCGACTCAGGAGTAAGGCTTGGAGGTGATTGGCCCCTCCCATAAGACTTAAAAGAGGAGCAAATGGACGTGAACCTTTGCGGGAAGCAACTTTGTTCATTCTGGTCGGTTCAAACTCTGAGAAGCGCCGTTGGACTCTGTGCTCCTTTTGGCCTTGCAAAACTAATTGGCCATGAGGTCTCTGGCAGCGTTTCAAGGGAGATAAAGGCGGGCGCTTATCAGCATTACCCCGAAAGACTTTGGCAGACTTCTGAAGGACTCTTCACAGACTATTTGTGAATCATGACGGGCTGTGAATGGCCATAATTCACAGCCGTTTCTATAAAAGAGGGATTTTTGGGACTAAGTGTGTGTGATTTATGCTTTCTCGGGAAGTCTAGGGCAGAACACTCCCCACCTTAAAAGTTCCCAAGGTTGAGAAACACACCGCCCGATTGGAAGCTCACCTTCCCCGTTGCAGCTGCTTGGTCCTTCTTGCTACGGTCCCCAATGGCAGCGATGACCGCAAAATATTGAATGACCCGCTTGGTGTTCACCGTCTTCCCAGCACCGGATTCTCCGCTACCGGATAGGAAAAACAACACTCCTTTCATTATGGCTGCAATTTGAGCCAGGCAGTCAATAAGATCACCATTCGAGACCTTCCCAGCCGGGTTTCCAGCAAGCAAACTTGGTGGGGGAGGTTGGATTCACTTAACGGTCATGCAATCCACTTAACAATCACTGCGATTTCACTTAACAACTGTGGCCAACAAGTTGTAGAAAGGGGCTCGGCTCAGGTAACAGCTGTCTTGTTCAGGTACGGAAAGTACCCATTATGGTCGTAAGTCGAGTCTCTACATAAGCCAAATTTTTTCAATCTGGGAGATATCAGAAAGCGAAGCTAGGTCAAATCTGATGGGTACAGCCAATCCTCGATTTACCACACTTCATTTAGTGACCGTCCGACCATTTTTCAGACTTACGACTGTCACAGCATCCCCCTAGTCACATGATTTACATTCAGATGTTGGACCATCGACTCATATTTATGACCGTCGCAGAGTCTCGGAGTCACGTGACCTCCTTCTGTGACCTTTGTGACAAGCAAAGTCCATGTGGAAGCCAGATTCGCTTAACGACCGTATTCCTATCTTAAAGACCGCAGTGATTCACTGAACAAGCGTGGCATGGAAGGTTGTAAAACAAGGCAAAATTTCACTTCATAAAACTGTCTCGCTTAGCAACAGAAATTTTGGGCTCAGCTTTGGTCGTAAGTCGTGGGCTACCTGTAATTGGTTGGGAGACCAATCTAACCCTATCAATTATTGTCTTTCATATCTGCTTAATACTTATACATATATACATATATACATATATACATATATACATATATACATATATACATATATACATATATACATATATACATATATACATATATACANATTGTATTGTATTGTATTATTGTATTGTATTGTATCATATCGTATTGTATTATTGCATCGCATTGCATTGCATTGTATTATTGTATTGTATTGTATTGTATTGGCTGAATACCACGTCTGCTTGGTACTCCAGAGAGCCCGAACCTTCTCCTTCTCCTTTCAGCCCTACTTACAAATCGGGACGAGTTGTCGTTCCTCAAGGTCTTGGCGTTGCCGAAAGCCTCCAGAGCTGGATTGGCTTGGATGATTTGATCTTCCAAGGTGCCCTGTAGATATAGGGTGAATGGTGGTGGTGGGGGGAGACATATTAGAAAAGGATATATCAAAAGGTTAAATTGGGCGTCTGCAAACCTGCGGCTCCGGAGCCGCATGTGGCTCTTTGACTCCCTCTCCTGTGGCTCCCTGCCGACCCAGTCGCGCAGCCTGCTCTCCGCCCTGAGACACTAGCCCAACACAGCCATGGCTGATGACAATCTCACTAGCATGAGGGCGGGCGGCAATGGTGGGTTCCAGATCCCGTCGCAACCGGTATATTGCGATGGGGTCAGGCGTCGTTTGCCCGTTTGCATCAAAAAGCAGTAAGGAACACGGGCAGGCGGGTGGGACAAACGAGCCACCATTCCAGTACAATGGCCGCTCCTCCTAGATACCACCGGTATACCCGTACTGGGCCATACCACCCGGAACCCACCACTGACTGGCGGGATGGGAATGGGATCCGGGAGGAGGGTACAACAGAAAGGGAGACAGGCCCACAGCTGAGGAACAAGCACAAGCCACGGTGGCGGCTTCCCCGAAGCCTCTCAATAACTCAGTAAACGGGGGGGGGGGGGAAATAGAATTCCTAAATCCAAATACTTAATAACTAACGTCCCCATATACCAGTGGTGGGTTTCAAAAATTTGTAGAACCTATTCTGTACGTGTGTCCTGCTTTGTGGGAGTGGCTTGCTGGCCATGTGACCGGGTGGGAGTGGCTTGCTGGCCATGTGGATGAGTGGGAATGGCTTGGCAGTCATGTGACTGGGTGGGCGTGGCCAACTTGNAAAGGTGGTTCCTATTTTTCTACTTGCATTTTTACATGCTTTTGAACTGCTAGGTTGGCAGAAGCTGGGACAAGTAACAGGAGCTCACTCCATTATGCAGAGCTAAGGATTCAAACTGCTAACCTTTCTGATCAACATGTTCAGTGTCTTAGCTGCTGATCCAGTTTAAAAAAAGTTTGAACAGGGGTGTCCAAACCTGGCAACTTTAATACTTGTGGATTTTAGCTCCTAGAATTCCCCAGCCAGTCTTAAAGTTGCCAAGTTTGGACACCCCTGGTATAAAACATCTAGAGATGTTCCTAACTCCAGCTATAAAATAACTTTTCAGTTAGTGTCTGTTCACTGTTTTCAAATTGGAACTATTAAAATATTAGGCCATGTACTCTTTTGTAATATAAACATTTTCTTCTATCTATGTCTATGAAGATATTATTTTAAAAACTTCACTGATTGAACTAAATATTTCCATTCTTTTGAAGTACATGTCTAGCTCTATTATATATGTAGCATATCTCTTAAATTTTTAATCAGCTATCTGTATATTTGAACATGTGATCACACATATAATAAATAGACGAAGCCCAACCAAACATAGAATAATTTCTGAAGTGCCAACAAAACTGGAAGATTGTGGAAAAAAACATTACAAGGCATATAAACCATTATATTATATCAGACTAACATTAGCATTGCAAGAGGTCCAAGTAAAGCAGAGTTCCTTATTTTATGCCATACTCTAAATCTTCTGTTTGCAAACAATTCATTAAACCAAAATGTGAATCCATTTAACCGGAATGAAAAAAGTGAGAAAAGAATACAGTTTTGAGCAACATTCCATTTATTTTTCTCCTTGTCCAAGAGCTTCATTATCAGGAAAAACAGCATTGCTCAACATCCACGTTATTTCAACAATGATTGTTCCCAGAGGAAATACTTCCAGGCATTTAAATTATATCTGATGTATTACAATCAGATGCTATCAGTTCAGAAATAGGTCCACAAATGCTTGCAAAACAAAAATCCAACAGCTATAAAAAAGGATTTACTGGAAATCTACTTACCATGCTAGTCAGTCAAATAAATAACTATTTGTATGAGAATTTCAATCTACTATAGATATGTGAAATTTAAAGATACAAGATTACTAATACTAGAGCTTGTCTTCTTCACTGAGAAACACACAAAGAAGAGAACAGCAACTGATAGGATCATATTGATCTACCATCAATCCAAGACTCTTCTCTTTATTATGTAAGTTATCATAGCAGCAAAGTTGTCCCAAAGTTGCTTTTTCAAGGGGCAACTGGACTTTCTGGTTTTTCTTTGAAGACGTTTTGCTTCTCATCCAAGAAGCTTCTTCAGCTTTGACTGGATGGTGGGGAATAGAAGGATTTATATTCCTTGCAGACAGCTGGTCATTTGCATTCTTATAGAGCAGTGGTAGTCAACCTGGTCCCTACCACCCACTAGTGGGCGTTCCAGCTTTCATGCTGGGTGGTAGGGGTTTGCTGT